TTCGTCCCAGATCCGGACGTTTTCACATTGGACCGTTCCAGATCTGAGAAGAGACCCATCATTATGTATTTTTTATATTGACTATTAGTTAATTTTTAATGTTAGGTGTTTCATTTCTAAATTATCAACGTTCGTCTCAATATAGTTCCATAACTCACATCACAAATGCTTATTGGAGAAGTCTACTTCCTTTAATTGATCTTACAAAGAACAATGATGAAAATGCACCCTCGACATCGTTGTTAAACAATGTTAGCAACTAATTCTAAATTTATTATCAAAATGTCAAATTTCTTTTTGCGGTAGCAAATTTATTTTTTTAATTGTATATATTTAACTACTATTTTTTGTTTATTTTTATAATAATAATATTTTTTTATCCAGTTCCATCATTAAACTTGTGGCCTCGACAAAATGTAGGCGGTCGTCACAAGCTTGCATTACCTCTCCTCACAAATGGTAACTCTAAATTCTTTATCATTTTTGTCTAATTTCTTTTAGACGTTAAAAGAATTATTAAATTTAGTTTTTCTATATTTAAAAGATATTCTTTTTTTATTTTTTTAATAATAATTTTATTTTGTACAATTTCGTCATTAAATTTGGCTCCTCGAAAAAACGTAGTTGACAGTCCAAGGCGTCCAATCATTATTGTTAATAATTTTCATTATTTTTTCCTCTATCATATTGTTTTCCATGCAAATGCAAAGGGTGATACTAGTTAGATCAAGAGACATAATTTTTTTCATAATAAAAAAAATGAGAGAGGGCCAACTAAAAGGAATATAAATATTTTCCTATATCATTAAATTCAACATGAAATTGGACTTGTTAGTAAACATGATAGAGAGAGCATAACTATATAAATTTTCACAAAAATTAGCGGCGTAGATTCCGGTGTGGTGGGGCTCATAAACATGTGATGGGCCTCATGATAAAAATAAACAAACATGTGAGTTATACGAGTCCCACACTCAAACTGATGCCTCTAACGCCTTCATGAACCTTTTGTTTTATTCCTGCTTTACCTCCTTTTGCTTTTCCATTAGTTCGCAATATTGATACAACTTACAAGGTGTTATAAAACTAGAGAGAAAGAGAGATAATAGAGAAAATATTTCTCTTAGGTACGATTTTCATTATAACTGAAGCTCCTATTTATAGGAAACTTCTGATGGCACAACCGTAATAATACAATTACATCGAGGGCAAAATAGTCATTCACATATATTATTTTATAATAAATAATTCATAACACTCCCCCTTGAATGACTATTTCTAAACATATTTTAACTGATTTGAATAACACCCAATCTGAATATCTTGAAGTGTATCTTGTAGCCATCGG